TTTCTTTTTAATTTTCTTCCTTTGTTCTGTATCTTAGATGTTTTGAACCTTAATTCAGAGCATTCATCTTGAGTGGATTCAGAGATTCAAATCGGATGATAAATTCTTGCTTGTGGAGAATTTCTGGAGGGAGGAGAAAGAGCTTGTCAACTGAGGTTTTGAATAATGTCTTGTTTGACATTTCCAACTCAAAGTGGGCTGAACCACAGATGAACACATGTGCATACTGTGTCATAGAAAGATGCACCATGTGTATAAGTAGACTGCGTATTGAAACAGCAGAACCCCCAGGGAAGGGAGGAGGGAACAAAGCTATAGTACTGCTTTGTCTGTCTCCTGCCCAGGGTTAGGAGTGAGGCTAGGGGAAGAGAGAGGAAGGACATTTTATAATCTCAGTAGAGGCTCAATGCTGAGTAGTATGAACATACCTATAGTCACACACTCATGTCTGTATTTACATATGGAGACACTGAGTCACAGAAAAACCTAGGCTTACCCAAGGCTCTTACCTAGTAAATGGAAGACCCGTAGTTCAAGCTCACCTCTTATTCACATTGCCATGCTCTTCACCCCTTCCCTCCATCCTTTTGTTGGGTGCTTACTAAGTGTAGGAAGGGTGCCAGGGCCTAGAGATAAAGAGACTGGGTGTTGGGCAGTGCCCTCCAGGGCATGAACTCCTGACCATTATGGTCCCTGTATTAGTCAGGGGCCTTCAGAGAAACAGAGCCAACAGGACTATGTGGGTATGTGCGTGCACTCACTCGCATGTACACTTGCAGGAAGGAATGAGCATATGTGGTTACATAGACTGATGAAGGCTCTTCCAGATCTGCAGGTGAGTCAGCAGATGGAGGCCCAGGAGAGCAGAGCACAGCTGACATGAGGTCTGGAGAGCTGAAGTCAAGGACAAGCAATGGTCTGTTTCCTGCCCACAGGCCAGCAGCCTGGAGACTTGGAATGGTAGCCTTAGGATTGGTCAAACAGGTTAGCAGCAGGGACTCTGCACAGGAGGCCAAGGACCTCCAAGCTGTGAGGGTGTTTGTATTTTCCTCTTTTTCCAAAGAGAAAAGTGGTTGAGAAAGGCTGGCAATCAGGCAAGACGATGCAGCCCCAAGACGGGCATCATACTTGCATCCATTAGCAGGCACATCCTCCGTGCCAAGCACTGGGCACTGGACACAGAATTAGTGCTGCTCTTTTGAAGGTCGTTTCTTCCCATAGAGCATTGCCATTAAATTTTTTTTTCCTATGTGCATATCATTGACCAATCAATAGAGTTCTCAAAAGAAAGAAAACATTTGCAAATGTTTGAGAACTAAGTTTGGTTAAAACCACTTGAGGCCCAGTGCAGGGTGCAAATGGACACATGGTGGCAATGTTGTGTCTGCACAATTAAAAATTGTAATTTCATAAACATGTGGGACTGTGGGGGAGGGAGCTGGACTATGAGAACAGTCCCTGTTGTTGGACCTGCCTTCTGCATGCTGGCTAAGGCTGAGGGCTAGAATGCGGGGTTGTCAGAGCTCAGAATTATGTCAGAGGAAGCCAGGGTTTTTGGCTTCCTGGATTCCTGCCCTGATATTCCTAGTTCCTTTCATGAGAGAGAAGGCCCTATCGAGCCAAGACTCCGCACCTTTAACTCAGCCTCTGAATGTGAGGTCACAGCCAAGTGTGACATCAAGGAGAACTTGTTTATATTGTTCTGCAGCAGAGCCTTCACCCAATGTGTGCTCTCAGGCTCTAAGTCTCCTCTTCTGTATGGCCATGATGACTGCCTTGTGCTCTGATGATTAAGGCACTGTGTGTGGAAGCTGGAGCATGGTGTAGACCCATCGGTCACTTCAAACAGCAGGACTTGGCCTTATCTTGATAGCTGAACACTCACCTTTGCCTACCCTGCTCCAGGCTTCATGTTTGTTGAGCAAACACAACTGCTATTTTTTTTATATTTTATTTATTTTTATTTTATGTGTATGAGTATATTTTTTGCATGTAAGTAAGTGCACCCATGTCATACAATGCCTGTAGAGGTCAGAAGAAGGCATTGGATCCCCAAGAACTGGAGTTGAGATGGTTGTTAGCTGCCATGTGGGTGCTGGGAACGAAACACAGGTCCTCTACAAGTGCTCTTAACCACTCAGCCGTCTCACCAACCCCACATGCTGATATTTTATGTTTTGTTTTTTGAGAAAGAGTAGCCCAAGCTGGCCTGGAACTTGCTATGTAGACCAGGTTGGCTTATATTTCACAGAGATCCACCTGCCTCTGCCTCTCGAGTGCTAGGATTAAAGTCATATGCCACCACACCTGGGTACAACCTGCTGTTTTAGAATAGCTTAGCTACCTAACTATTCTTAGTTTTTCTTTTTGAGATGGTCTTATACAGCCCAGTCTGACCTCAAATTTGGTATGTATCCAAGGATGACCTTGAGTTCCTTGAATCCCAAGTGCTGGGATTACAGGCCTCCATCAGTACACCTAGCTCATGTAATGTTAGGGATGGAAGCCAAGCCCTCATGGGAAGCAAGCAATCTCTCAACTGAGTTACATCCCCGCTCATTCTTTTTTAGTCTCTTGTTGGAACCACACATGGAGGCTGGTTTCGAAACCTGGGGTAGGAGCTTGTAATTGACCAGCCCAGTGACAATGTACTCCTGACCCACGTGTGATTACATGTCCCCTGCAGATTCTGCCCCAGCCTTTGATTTGTGATCCAGGGCAGTGGGATTCAGCGCGTCATGTTTATTGCATTGATAGGATCAGGAGCTGATGCAGTTAACCCTGAGGTGATTAAGAGGGAGAGAAAATAGCCATGTCTGTAAAGGCCATCAATGCCCTGGACAGAGGCAGCATGGGCAGTACAGGTGAAAACACAGTGTGTAGTTCATCCCCAGCTTTGATCCTCAAGCTTCTTGGTGTAAAGGCCATCAATGCCCTGGACAGAGGCAGCATGGTGAAAACACAGTGTGTAGTTCATCCCCAGCTTTGATCCTCAAGCTTCTTGAGTTGTAGTCTGGTTGTGGATGTTTGGAAGCTCGGCAGGACCTGGGCTTCAGGGAGGAAAACTTGGGTATAGAAAAAGAGGAGTTGGAAGGGGTCATTCCTCAGAGATGATATTTGTGGTTCAGGAACCTCCAAGACAGCCATGGCGTTTCTGCATCCCAGGGTATCAGCAGAGGAGGGGCACCAAAGAGGGGCAGCTTTGAGTGTGTCTTGTGTTTCTGGAATCCTTCAATAGTCATCATGTATGGGGCACTGTTTGTATAGTGGTATATGCTAAGTGTCTCTTTAGGAAATTGTATTTTTCACATGATTAAATTTTTTCACACCAGACACAGTGGAACACACTTGTCGTTCCAGAACGGAAGAGGCGAAGGCAGGAGGATTATTGCTCCCAGGCAATCCTGGGCTACACGAATGAGACCCTGCTTGACTTTTTTAAAAATTCATTATTTGAACAGCCTGTCATGAAAACCCACTGTACACAAATGACATACAGACATGAGAGTGAGCTGGGTGCAGATTCCAACCCCAGTATTCTTTTTGTGATTTCCCTGAGCCTCAGCCTAGGTATCACAGGGTCGGGTGATTGTCACGTGAAGTTTACAGTGTTACTGAAATACAATTTACTAGAAGCAAATTTTCTGGGAACCTTGAGGCCAATCTTGCCCTTTCCTCTTTGTTGCTCCTGTTGGTTCTTTTTAAAATTATTTTTTATATATTTTTTAAAAAATATATTTATTTATTTATACATTTATTTATTTATTCATACATTTATTTATTTATTTATTTATATGTGTATGAGTGTGTTGCCTGCATGTATGTGAGTGCAC